TATGTGAAACGTCCAGCAAATTCCTTCGGGATCACAAAGGAAAACACGTCTGGATCGCCGGAAAAATGGACCTCGAATTGACTGAATCAGGTCGCAGCTATTTGCCACATAACGAAAAAGAACTATTCGGTTTTAAAATGAAATAACGTACAACATTTTTGGAAGCAATGCGAAACTTTTTAGCTTGAAGTACAAGTTTTTAAAGGGTCAATTTTCGGTTAGTTCTCCAATAAATCGACTCTAGTTTCAGCAATGCAGGGTTTTAAACGCTAAACATAGCAAAAGACGTGCTTTCTGTGAAAATCACTTGGCCATAAATCAGGGCATATCGGCGGCCACTACTAACCATCTTTTAAAATCAGCAAACAGTTGTAAATCTACTAAAGATCACCTGAGCAAACCCTCGATAAAGAAGTCCAAATTGAAACAAACCGAACAAAATTATTTTTACTGCCTCAACGATTCACGCAAAAAATTAAAAAATCCAATTAAGAAGAAAGAAATTAAGATATTTTTCCTCCACACCAATCTAAAACTTCGCCCTCAAATGAAGACTCAATATAAGAGCAAAAGAAAAATGACTTAAAGCAACCGAAACAACATAAGCTGAAGGAAGCCCAGAACATCTGCGCAATATGCCACAGAAAATGAAGACAAAAAATGGAAAAACCTCGCAATCAATGGACGATTTTAATACAAAAACAGAGTGCATATAAATTGGACAGTCATGAAATATCGAACAACTAACTGTCTGAGTATGTTATGCAAACATGGTTAATCACATAATACAGCAAAACTTGTTTTATAAAAACGAGTTTGAATAAAAAAAATATAAGGGCAAAAAAAGAAGGATAATCTTCACTTTTGAAGAGTAAAATTTCAGGTAACAATGAATTGAAAAAAACAGTTGACTTTTCATTAGTAGGCAGCTTCTGCAGATGCAGTAATCAATCAGAAAGTTTCTGCAGTTATTCAAAACTTTTCAAAAAACTTCCGTTACAACCTCAGAATCCTCGTCGTTTCCAAATTTCACGAGCAAAAAATGTTTTTTTTTTTATAAAAATCACTTGGCCATAAATCAGGGCATATCGGCGGCCACTAACCATCTTCTGGTACAGTAAACAATTGAAATCTGGTGAAAAAACCCATGTTGAGTCGTGGCAAAAATGAGTCACACAAGCATGGGTAAGCAGCAGCTGGATTAGCAGAACATCTGGCATGAAAACATTGATAGATTTTTTGTGGAAATCAAGCAGGAATCGAAAATCGAAAACACACCGCCTCCTACCTTTAGCTGTTTACACGAGAGTGTGGAAAGGCGGGGTAAGTTGGCAACTTGCCTGAAACCAAATCGAAAATTGTACTTTTCCATAGGCGACCAAATGCTGTTAAATGCGGCTTTGATTGCGGAATTACCTTGTTTAATTGCCGGAATAAATGTTTCCCTTTCTTCATAGCCAACATTCACTGATGGTCGACACACAAAGTAAAAAAACGCGCAAATAATCAATTTTTTACGTTTTTTTTGTGTGACAAGGCGTTTTTTAGCCAATTAGTACCGTCACGGGCCAACCCAGGTTGCTAACTAACTAAACCAAGCAAGTAAGTGCGACATGAGATTTTTGCATTTCCAAACAATTGCCAAAAGGTAAAAGTTCGCAGTATTTTTAAATTTCTAAATAGGTTAAGTCCATGGCGCGACAATAAACTTTGCAATTTGGACCAGCGCTTTAATTGATTGAATTAGCACAATTTATTCGCGATTCTAGAACAACGGGCTGTAATTAGATTAAACATTAAAGCCTTTTCATATATATACTATTGGTTAAAAAAATCCAACAATTAATCCTGATAAATGTGTCTTTAAGGTGCAGAGACTAATAGTAGGTACTTAGTAATTAATATGAAGATTAAACTGTAAAAATTGAAACATTCAGAACGTTTTGAATATTGCAAATTGTGAGTAACCCCAGCTTTGCAATTTTGCATGGCAATATTCCAGAAAAAATTGGGATCAAACGAAGGTTGGTAAAGTGGATAGAAACGTGAAATATGTTCTTTAATCGGAAAAAGTGAGCAAATGAAACTGCTACCACTGCCGATTTTTTGCTACTTGTTGAAGACATGTTCAAAATCATCATATTTCGGCAATTTTATGGTCGTTACGAGTTAGTTTTCGATGTGTTTGGTCCTCGTAGAATATTCTAGAAGATATTTTAGCGTTGATTTCAAGAAGTTTCTCAATAACCATTTGAGCCACTGAATTCGTTTTGGCATCGTTGGATAGAGAATTGAAATTCAATTCAGTCATAACAACATGAAGGAGAAATGCGAGTAGTTTTGACGCAGAGAGCAAAGAAAATCAGACACTCAGGTGCAAGATTATGCCAAAATTTCATGTTTTCCGTCCCGATTATGCTCATTTCACGGAAACAAAATGAGCAAGAACGCTTATTTTTACATTATTGCAGAAAGAACTAAATAGCCTTTCTAGAAAGTGAATCGTCTATGAGAAAATGTTGGCAGTTTTCCCCAAAAAGTCTCGATTTCAAGAAGTTTTACATTTGCATGTTTTTTTTTTAGTTGCAAAATCGACTCAAACATGCCGCAGCCTTTTTCAAAGTTTCTCAAGAACCATATGAGCCACAGAATTCGTTTTGGCATCGTTGGATAGAGAAATGAAAACTCGATTCAGTCATCACAACATGAGTGAGGAAGTTAGACTTGTTTAGACCCAGAAAGCAAAATTTGTATATCATACATTGAGCAGCGGCGGATCCAGCTTTCAAGTCGGGGGGTCATCTACAACATAAACCCAGTAAAAGGGGGGTTATAATATACCCCCTCTGGATCCGCCCTTGTGTACTCTTCAAATTCAGTGCTAGTTTTTTTACAGCTCCTCAACAGTCAAAGCTACTAAAAATTGTCTAAATCAAGACATTTCTATCTAGAACTTCAGCTTCAAAATGTTTCAAAAACAGAGCTCTAATTGATGAACAAAGGATACTCCCGGGGTATCCGATATCCAAAGTCCCGTGCAACTGTTGCGTCACTGCAGCATTTTCCATTACTAACCTAGATTCAGGACTTACATTGATCAGCAGAGTGTAGAACATCATATCGCCCGATTTTCCAAAAATCCGATTTTTTCGATGAAAAAACGACACTCACATTGCGATCCGCGATCCGAATTCGCCGGTTTTTGAACAATTTGGACCGGTTAGGAGACTGGATAGAATCGAGGTCTAGAATACGGTAATGGAATATATCTCGACCCTGCTTTCCATTGGCACTGTTGCCAAGCCCTTCGTCCTATCCAGAAATGGAGAATAGGGCACATTATCCATTTCCTCGACATTTTGTGTTCAAGTGTGTGTATGCTAATCTGTCCCAATCTGCTGATTATTGCCGCAAACATGGAACAAGTGCCGGTGGATTTAATAGGAGAATCAATGGCAAGGTCCAGGTTTCTGGAAAACTCGACAACATTGGATTTGTTACCTCAGCAGCATCAGCACTGTCCTATAAAGGCAGATCAATCGAGTCAAGGGCAAGTGAAGTTCAAGGCTTGCAGCTGGCAGGGTAGTGTTTTATCATTTAGACAATATCTTGAAGGAAATCGAGGATTTTGACGAAGGAAATATTGAAGAATCGAACGCCTCTTTGCATTGGCATAGCTGAGACAGTTTGCACGTTTTTGAGGGCAAAGCCTCTCATCGGGAAATTTTTTGGTTAGAATTACCATAAAAAGCTAATTTGTTGAACCCAGAGGTTCCCTTCAAAGGAAAAAAAGCTCTGAGGTCCCTAAAAAATAATATAGATGAAACCATAAATTGGGAATAAACCAAACCTGCCTATAATTTGAGTTCTGACCAATGGGGATAACAAAGAGTTTGTAGTCGAGTTGAAATATGTATCAAGTTAAGTGTTTCTTTAATGAAAAGAGTACACAACGTATCGTTCACTTTCTGAAAATGTGAACGACTTTCCAAATTTCCAATAATTTCCATATCCCTTGTCATCCAAATATTTTTTGGACAAAAAAACAAAAAAAAAATTTATCTATCCTAAAACAGAGTTACTTTGAGCGGAGAAGGTATCAACTTCGAACGTAGCAACGCGCGGGCCATCTTGCATCTGTCTTAGACTCTTATGGGTGCGAGCGAGAGTGCCGATGCCAACTACGTTCCTGAATGGAAAATAAATCGATCCAAAAAATGTTTGCACACTTTTCTTAGAGTGGTTGCACTTATAACCACATGTGATGAAAAGACTCTTTTGAGTAATTCGCATTAAGAATAGACGATGGCCTACTAACGCTAAAATCGCAGAAAGATAACTAAAAATAAAAATTGACCCGCCCGGGTGTTTTTTCTGAAAAAAACGAATTCTAATTTTTTAACAAATTTAGTCGATTGTGAAGCTGTGCCTAAACCTTTGCCTGCGGCACTGGCAAAAGCGAACTTCGTGCTTTTTGAACTGATTTCGTGATTAAAAAAAGTCATTGAACGCCCAGTAAGTCCAAACAGTGCAAATTGGGCTGAAAATAGAGCTTGAAGGACAACTTAACAGAACTGACTGAAAAAGCAGTCTCCGTTGCAGTGATGAGCAAGACTGGTCTTAGTCTTGGACTAAAAAGCCCGCCTTTCGATGAGCAAAACTAAGACCAAGAGTCTATGCAAAACAATGCAACTCTTGGTCTTGATCTTGTTTTGCCCATCAAGTTTGTCCTTTGATCTTTGCTGCAAATAACAAAAAAAACCGGTGGACAACCGTGATGTAACTGAAGAGTCACGGTGATTCATGAATTCGACGTTCCAAGGTGTGCTGAATAGTAATCAGGAGCGCAAACCGCTTAAAACTACCAAACCCAGAATGAATTCGTCAATTTCATTCATTTGCAGTGCCCAACTGCAGAATTGCATCTGAACTTTTGCCAAGTTCAATTACATAATATTGATGGAATCAAATGGTGCATGTAGCTATTGAACTGAACTCACCTCAACTACTTTAAGGTTCTGCTTATCTAGAAGAAACTCCATAGATTTGTGAGGGCGTCCGGAACCACTTTGCGATCCATCAGCGCGTTGGGGCACTTGTAGACGGGGCTCGGGGCCCAAGTCTAAAAGACTGCGCGCTTTGGCATTAGCCCCGTTCGTTATAACCTGAAACGCAACAAAAACCCCCATGTTAATGATTTTTCCGTGAAGAATTTTTGGTTGACTTGATAGGGGTTAAGTTCAGTGCGAGAAAAATGAGCAGGAGCAAAATGGGGGGGCAAAAAATGGTGGTCAGAAGCAGAAGGAATATTTACCGTAACTTCTGTATCGAGATCGGTCTCGATCAACCCCATGGGTCCGTCCATAGAGGCATTCCCGTAGCCGAGGCGCCCCACGTCGTTCGCCGAATCGATAGTGCGTCGCCGGCGTCGGTTATCCAAACCGACGCCATTGGCGGCGTGCGACTTTTTAACGCTCGCGTGTACCACCCTTGGGGGCGGCTGTTTCGGCAGGGGCGGCTTCCCGGTCGAAACAGGGCCGGCATGGCTGTTGTTGTTGTCCAAGGGCGACGGCCCTTTCAACGGGATGTAGATGTAATCGGGCTTGGGGGCGGCAGCCACGTTAACGCCTTGGTTCGGGTTCTTTTGCACTGACACCTGACCTGTAACAGAACATTTTATGAAAATCCCACTGGGTCCATCCAAGTAAGATTCTACTTTAGTTTGAAATTAATAAATCTTTGGGTGCTATGGGTGTATGCATCTCGTGTTTGCTGTTTGTTCCTTTTACTGTTGTTCATTCTTCCTAACCGTTTTCCTCCTTCACCGCTGTGTTGTTTTAATTAGGTCCCTGTTATTAATATTTTCAGAGAACTAATCCTCGTTTCAATGCTATTTATACAATTTTTCCCAACTTTGAGCATTCTGCCAACTATTTATCGACATTATTCGCAACAAAAAGCCCCCATATGTTACTTTACAGCAGTGTTGGGCAAAAATTGATTTTTATTAAAAAAATCAAAAATCACTGATTTATTTAAATTCATCAAAAAATCATCATTTTTTTTATTTTTATTAAATCAATTGATGAATCCGATAATTAGCTGTTTTAAAGTCATTGCAATTGTTGCCGAGAAGATTCAAGCTAAGCTAAGTTGAACCGATTCAATACTTGTCCGAACGCATTTTCGACGGAAAATTCGTTTTCGCACGTTGCCCGGCGTAATCTATAAATGCCGTCGCCTTTCTTCGGTCTTATTATATTATATTATACAAAATTTCAAGAGAGGCTAATGTTGAAAAGTGTGTAGGTTTTTTGTGTTTGTGTAATAATAATAAGTCCGTTTGAAAAGAACGCAATGACTGGAAGAAAAGAAGATAGTATTTCGCAGTTTTACATCAAAACCACCTCGTCTAATAAGTCAGGATGCAAAACTTGCAAACAGTGTAAGAAAGAGATTCAAATCATCAACAAAACAACAAAACATTCAAGGCACAACAACAAATGCAAACCTCGATCTTCCGCCCAACTTTGTCGAGACTGGAAGTGCTTCTTCCTCCTTTACATTTCCCTCGACAAGCTCCAACTCACCCCTCCAGAATCTCCATCATCTTACAAATAAACAACTACCGAGTCGGCTTCCAAGACAAAGAAACGTGAAAGCCAACCCTCAATGTCCAATTTCGTTAGGCGAACTTCAGCAAGGGAAAAACATCTTATTGACAAACAAATAGCTAAGGCCATATTTGCCACAAACTCAAGTTTTAGATGTATCGAGAACTCGGAAGTCAAGAAAGCC